GGGAGGAGAGAGAAGAGAAGAGAAGAGAAGAGAAGAGAAGAGAAGAGAAGAGAAGAGAAAAGGAAAAGAAAAGAAAAGAAAAGAAAAGAAAAGAAAAGAAAAGAAAAGAAAAGAAAGGAAAAAAGAAGAAAAAAAAAAAAGCAGAATGCCAAGGAGTGACTTACTGTGTGTGGTAGGCTTCCTTGATGACACAGAGAAGGCGGTGCTGGACACAGAGTCAGAACTGCTGGAAACAGTGGTAGGGATGTGCTGTCCATCAGGATGGCTCTCTGTGCTCTGCGAAGGAGTAGCCATAGGTTGGTGAGGGCTTGTGGTGCTGTCTGCTATGGGGGTAAGAGGAAGCTTTGAGGGAATAAGCATGCCAGTAGGCTGGGAAGAAGCATTGTTGGTTAGCTGGTTACTTCCCAAAGTGGTTGGTGGTGCAGTGGTAACATTGTCAGTGCCTCCAGAGGAGACTGGCTGTCCACTGCTACTAGGGGGGCTGTTGGTACTGGGGGGTCTTGTTTTAGTCTTGTCATCTTGGGAGCTGCTGGAGGTTGGAGTAGGGCTGCTACCACTTTGCTTGACCCTGGAGTCTGGGGTCAATGTATGAGCAGTTGTCAAAGGTTGGTCTGCTGAGTCACTAGATGATGCCGTGGTTGGCTGGGCTGGAGGAAGAGTGGATGTCACTGGATCAACAGTTGTGGGTTTGGTCGATGCTCTGTTAGTGGTTTCTGTTGGAGGGTCTGATTTGGTAGTAGGCATGTCAGTCACTCCTGTTGATAAAGACAACACAGAATCAAGCCAGGTGTTAGCCAGGGTATCTGTGGGCTTCTCTAGCCCATTCCCCGATGCATTAACATCCCACCCATTTCTGGGTTTGCCTTGCTGAAGGCTGTGTCCTTTCGTGAATTAGTTACACAGCCCCTCAAGTCTGCCACATGTAGCCAGCATTTGCTACTTTATGGGTTCTTTTTTCTACCCTTCTCCACTCTGTTCACTATAAGAGAGAAAAAAAGGGTAAAGAAAAAGAAAAGAGATCCCTGAATAAAGTCAGGGTTAGAAAGTGGGTGATGCTATTTGGCTGCTTCCTGCTGATTACGGGTGTCGAGTAAGTGGAGTTCCTCGGGGACACTTCGGTCTTCACTGTCGAGATATCTCACTTCTTCTTTCTGCGGAGGACTATTTAACAAACCAACTCTTACAATGACAAACAACAACCACCAACCAACTGAGCACTCTCAGGGGTCCTAGCATTTATACACCCTCAGAAAAGGCCCCAGAATTTCAAATGTCACAGAATGGCAGAAACTATCTGCAGCTGGCGAAATCACACCTCAGCTACAGCAATCACAGTCAGCTGCTACAGAGCAGGCCATATCACTACACCTGGGATTAAAACAAAAACATATTCTTATAATATTTCTGTGTCTGTAAAGAAACCAAAATTTGGGACCTAGAGAGATGGCTCAGTGGTTAAGAACACTGTCTGCTCTTCCAGAGGTCCTGAGTTCAAGTCCCAGAAACCACATGCTGGCTCGCAACCATCTACAATGTGATCTGATGCCCTCTTCTAGCATGTGGGTGTACATGCAGGTACAGCACTCATATACATAAAGAAATCTTAAAAAGGAAAAAAGCAGAAACCAAAATTCTCACTACAGCCACATGGCTCTGCTGTCCCCCCACCCCCACCCTTGGCCCACAGATGTCCTGTCTTTCAAATCATTGCAGCAAGTACTAGCCCAAGAGCCACGTAGCCTTTCCAAGGACAGTACAGCCTAAGAGGACAAATGGATGACAGACTGCACAAAGTACCCACTGTGGGCTGTGCTGAGGAAAAGCACTGTGCTTGGGCCATGTTTAGCTCAGTGGCTTAACCCAAGAGGGGAAAGGGTCAAGGAAGAATGGCTTTTAGTGGGTTAAAAGAAAGTGTATTGAGGACATTGTTGCATGACAGGGCCTGTGTTGAACAAGACCCAGAACTTAACAGCCCCAGGGAGATGACATGAATATACAACAACTAAATGACAGACTCTGGTAACTTCAGGAAGAATGAATAAGGAAAGAAAATGGAGGGGTCGGGGTAGACAGGACAGGCAGCTGTCCTCATTTCTTCTCTTGCTGTGAAAAGACACCTTGACCAAAACTGTGGGAATAAAGGAGGTTCATTATAGATGGAAGTGGTCCTGGTCCATTATATCAGGAAGTTAAAGTAAGAATTTAGGGGATCACATCCTGTCACCAGCAAGGAGAATGTGGGTCCTTGCTTGCTTGCTTGCCTGCTCAGCTAGTTGCTCAACTCTCTTAGGCTGTTTAGGACCCTTTCCAGGAGAATCACACATCCCACATTGGGCTGGGTCTTCCTATATCAATTAACAATCAAGATTATCTCCCACAAACATGCCCACCAGGCCAACTTGATCTAGATTAACTAATAACCTCATTAATACTCTCTTCCCAGGTGATTCTAGGTCATGTCAAGTTGATAGTTAAAACTAGCCAACATAATCCACTTCTTGTCAACTTGACTCTCAAATTCATCATTTTAAGCCATTAACAGCAGCCCTCCAATAATCATTAAGCTAAAAAGAATGCTGTGTGAACAAGTATCTCCAACAGAGAAAACAGAACAAAATGTGAAGTACTCAAGTCAGGGGAAGGAACCAAGGGAAGACATGGATGTGTGCATGAACTTAGAGAATGGGGGCGAGGCAGGCCTTTTAGAGGCTGTCCAAACCAAACAGTTCTGAAAATAGAATAAGATTCTCTTAAAAGTATATCCTGGGAGGCAGAGGCACGTTGATCTCTGAGTTCCAGGCCAGTCTGATCTATATAGTTCCAAGACAGCCAGAGCTACATAGTGAGATTCCATCTCAATAAAAAGGGAATATCTCCTAGGTCAAATGAGACATAAGTTCAGGAGCTAAAGTAAGACCTTTAATCTTATTTACATGTAAGGGGAAAAAAGCCATTGCACGGGGTAAGAAACTTCACCTTTGTAGGCTGTTTCCACCTTTGTGGAATGGGATCTAAAGGGAAAGAGCCTACGAATAGGACAGCAGGTAGGGTGTCTTATCAGTCATGCCAAGGAATGGCTGCTGCTGGATGTGGGAATAAACCCCAGAGACAAGAAGGGGTTGGATTCAGAACTAGATTTTGCTCAGGCCGCTGTGGCCCTGAGGGGAAGGAGGAAAATCAGGGGACAGGGAGAAGGGTGTTGGTAATCCCTGGTTTTCTCCTGAAGTAAGTAAGAGACTGCTGGGGGAAGGAGCTCCATGACTGTTTCTGGACAGCTCCCATGAGACTGGCCAGAAGCAGACTCAAAGTGCCAGGCACTAGTTGGCCCAGTATTCCCTGGATCGCCAGCATGTGCTGAACGTGAAGCACAGGGTCCACATCTAGCTGGGGAGGGGAGAGATTATGATGGCAGCAGCAGGAGAGTGTCCTCACGCGCAAACAGCAAACACTGGGGCAAGGAGATGGTGAATTCAGATCCTACCTGGGCTACACAGTGAGACCCTAGTTTTTAAAATAAAACTAAAACTAAAGATAAAAACAAAACAGGTGTAGAGGAGCGGGCCTGTAACCCTAAAAGGTGGAGGCAGAAAGATTAGCAGTTTGGGGCTGGAGAGATGGCTCAGTGGTTAAGAGCACTGCCGGCTCTTCCAAAGTACCCAGGTTCAATTCCCAGCACCCACATGGCAGCTGTCTGTAACTCCATTTCCAAAGGATTGGACACTTTCACACTAATGCACATAAAATAAAATAAAATTTAAAAAAATTAAGAAAAAAAAAGATTAGCAGTTCAAAGCCATCTTTGGCTACAAAATTCAGGGAGTGCTGGGCTAATGAGAGCCTATTTCAATTCTCTCCTGACACACACAAACAAATCGGGAGCAGTGTTGGAGGACTTGGGGGTAAGTGGGCATGTACGTGTGATCACATATCTGTGCACACATGTATGTTCATGTGGCAGCTGCCCCTATATGAGTACATGTGGAAGCTGAAAACCTTGGGGACCATCCCTCAGGAGCCATCCATCTTGATTTTGGGTACAAGGTCTCTGACTGGCTTGGAACTCACCAGTTAGGCTAGGCTGGCCAGTATGCCTCGAGAGGTGGGGTGAAAAGGTGGGTTGTTCCTCCTGTCCCAGCCCTGAATCATCAGCAAGGTTGTGGGGACTGAACACAAGTTCCTCATGCCTGCAGGTGGATCTCTGAGCTCAAGGCCAGCCTTGTCTACATAGTGAGTTCTAGGACAGAAGGCTACACAGAGAAACTGTCTCAAAAAACAAAAAAACCCAACCAAAAAAAAAAAGGAAAAAAAAGGTTGCTGTGGTCATGGTTTGGTCATGGTGTCTTATTCACAATGTTCATGAGTAAGGACTTGAATGTATCATTCTGGGATAGCTACCTCCTACTCTATCCCCCACCCCACCCCCAGCAGACCAAACCCATGACAGCTTGGCATCAACTTGCCACAACCAAGAACCCTCAATTGAAAATTGGCTAATAGGCATGACTGTACAGTATTGTCTTGAGTATAATTAATGTAGGAATATTCAGCCTATTGTGGGCAGCACCATTCCCTATACAGAGAGTCCCAAACTATGTAAGACAGAGAGCTAGATGAAAACTAGATAGCAAAAGCAAAGAGGAAGCAAAGTTGTCATTGGTGTCAATATTTCATGCTTTAGGTATGTCAGAAATAGTGTCAAATCTTCCTGAGCTATCCTGGGAAGGCACCATTTTTTTTTCCCCCAAGACAGGGTTTCTCTGTGTAGCCTTGGCTGTCCTGGACTTGCTTTGTAGACCAGGCTGTCCTCTAACTCAGAGATCCACCTGCCTCCGCCTCCCCAAGTGCTGGAATTAAAGGCGTGAGCCAACACACCTGGCTCATCAAGCACCATTTTTACACTACTGATTCTATAGTACTAGAGACCATTTCTGAGAATTGTGGTCCCTGGGGACACTCCATATTTGCTTCTAGGACTGGGCATAACAGGGAATCCCTTGGGTGCCATCCATCCGCCTCTTGCTTTATTATTTAGTAGTGTGTAGAGTTGATGGCAATAAGTACATCTTAGCTCTGTGTTCCGTATTTTGCTTACAGCAAGCATGCTCTTGGTTCTGTGCCTATAACAGCTCTGAGGAAGGCATCTAAGCCCCCAGGTGCCACTGCTACTGGAAGCATGGATGCAGGGAGCACACACACACACACATCTAGACCATGTGTATTCTAGCAACCTGCTTGTATTGCAGCCACTCAGTCATGTGCCCATGGAGCAGCCATGAGGTGACGGAGAAAGAATCATCACAATGAGCCCTGGGAACCAATGGAATCAGGCAGCCCTACTCCAGCCATATCCCACTAGTGCAGCCATAGCCTCATCCCTCAGTGTACATGCAGGCTTGGTTCTTCTTTCCTGCTCCTTCTAAACCACTGGCTTTAACCCTTCAGATGCTGCCCTTGAGGCTCTTCACATGTTCACTGTAGTATAAGCTTCAAATAAACAGTGTTTGGAGGGTAAAAGCCAAGTCTTGGCCACTGGGGGAATTTTCTCTTCCAGCTTTCCTACAGGCTCTTCCCTAGTCAGCTATAATCTCATAGCAGTCCACCCCTGGGTGGTACCAGCACTGCATTACCTAGAGGTAGGCTAGACATGAACATTCAACTAGGGGAAGATAGAGAAGTAGCCATCCGAGGGACCATCAGGCTTGGGCTTAGGGAAAACCACCATATGGTGGGTAGGACTAAGCATGCTGAGGATGGG